TGTATGTGTCATGCTGAAGTGTGTTTCGCTCCTCAAGTGTGACTGCGGCTCCAGGGTTCAAGAAGACCTCTGACGACTGAGCAATCAAAGCTTTGAAAGCTGCAACATCTGCGTCACTGGCTGCGCAAAGTCTCGTCTCCAGATCCTGACGTGGCAGTTGGAAGCCCAGCTGTTCAAGTCGACATCGCATGTTCAAATCGATGGCCTTCCATCCTTTGGGGATGTATGAAATCATCACTACTCTGTTGCCAACATAGGGTTCTGTACCGTGCCAACGAGTGGCACAGAAAGAAGCTGCTCTACCATCGTCGAGTCTGTGGAGCTTTCCAGGAATAGGTGCGGAATCCGTTTCTGTGTACCGCCACACTGCCTGGTCCTCATCCAGGTCACTCGATGCATTTTCAGTCCACAGATGGCCGCCCTGAAAGCTACTCAGACCTACAATCGTGGAATCAAATGAGCCGTCGTTTGGATCACGGTGCGGCTTGAAAGCTACATCCTCAGCTATAGCAATAGCCATAAAGGGATTCTCAGTGTGCTGCTTCATAAACTTAGTGGCAAGTTTGGTGAGGAAAGGGTGCTGCTTGGTGACACGCGTGATTCCACACAGACCGCCCCTAACATAGGACCCGAAGACCCACAGCTTCGCGACCGATGGTTCTCCTACCACCTTAGAGCTCCTACGAAGGATCAAGGGCTTTAGATCTGCCATCTTCACAGCTGCCAAAACCTCATGATGCTCCACATGATCCCTTTCAAGCAGTTTTTCGGCAAAGGATTCACTGGTTATTACTTCGACAGCCTTGCATCCCTGAATGTGATCCCCTGACTCCTCCTGAAACTCCAACACATCAACCCAGTCAATGACCTGGCTCTCCGGGGGAATCACAGGGATTTCGGGAATGTCAGTGACAACCTTGTGACTGCAAATGCTCTTCTGCTGCATCCGATAATGCTTGCTGAGTGCAATACGCGCAAGTTTGAAATCAGACCATCTCATGTACGGTAGGCCATTGGTGACAACGCAGTCAACATTCACAATCCTAGCGTGTTCGAAAGGATGTGGGTACGAGATTCTAGCGCCCTTCTGGTCCCAATTGAAAGCCCCTCCTATGTCGATGATCTTCCTAACTCCAACGATCCACTCTCCCTTGGCTCCATTCTCTGAGATCATGCACACCTCTCCATGTTTGTTCAAGGTGGCTGCGCACTGCGACCCTGACGCGAGAGTGACCTGAAGCGTTTCTTCACCTAATGAGGATTGCCGCTTAGTCTGTGGACGGAGCACTTCGTTGGCCCCGCTGTCAACGAGAACAAAACCATCACTCTCAACACGATTGCCCGAGACACAACACATGTTTGCAGCACCTTGGCGCCGCCTACGCACCATGCCATGGAATCTTTGTTGGACTTCGGGGTCGTACTCTTCATCACTCACCGGTTCTCCCGCCTGCCAAGATGCATATAAAGAGAACGCAAGTTCCTCAATCTGTTCTTCTTCCAGCCGAACACCCTGGACTCCCGTAGAGGCGTGGACTTCATACAGGACACCTTCATGCTGAAACAGGTCCTCAGCAACCTGCCGTTGAATGCCATTCTCTACCAAATCTCGAGGACTCAGGAAGGCAAGATCATCAGCAAACTCGGCACCTAACAAACCCAGGGTCTCAGCTAGGTGACCAAATCCATGACCATTCAACATTTCCTCTAGTGGAATTCGGTCCCTGACATGCCCGGTGGGAGCCCCGAAGCCGAATCTCATGCATTCATTAAACCATACATCCTCAGGCCATGGCTCTACGTACGGCTGATTTCTTTCCACCGCTACCACAAAACGAAGCTTGGACTGGACATCTACACGCTCAAGCTCGAAGGCAAAGGCCCCCTTGAAGACTCTCGTGACCGGATCCAGAACCAACACATTGTGTACAGCAGTGACGGTCCATTCATCATTCAACACAGCCGGCAGCTCATCTAATTGCCCAGCCCTATGCAGAATCCATGCTCCATGCTCCACACTGCGATAATCATCAATGTGCTCAAACTCCGCATGCGCCCTGGTGACGATGTTGCCTGGGTGAGTCCACATTTTCCACTCCAAACCCGTCAAGCGCAAGCTCCACATCCATGGACCTGGCTCGTCGTCACTCTCCTCCTGAAACTCGTCCCCGAATTCACTCGGAGTAAGGTCATCGCTCCTAACACCATCCAGTTCGGAAAGCTCTGAAGAGGAAGAGATACCATCGTCAGAAGGTTGATCGTTCTCACGCAATGCCATGTTTGCACACACTCGATAACATGTAGCAGACTTCGCCTCAGCTCCAACAAGTGCTGCTGCCTTCGCTTTAGCACCTGGCTTTGCCTTGGGGTCCGGTTTGTCTCTTGCTGCTGCTTCCTTTGCTGCGGCCTTGGCTTTGGCTTTTGCCTCCCTTGCTTCAGCTTTCTCTTTGGCCTTCGCTTCAGCCTCCTTGGCCGCTGCCCTTGTCTTTGAATCCTCCTTGCCCTTGCCCTTGCCTTTGGCTTTTGCCCCCTTAGGATCACCATGCCAATACTCGCAATCCTTTCCCTTCAAGCACCCTCGCTCAGTGTTAAAGAATGCACATGGAGTTGACTTGGTATCACCTGTTGGTTTTCCTTTCTTGCCTTTCCCTTTACCCTTAGCAGCTGTGATCTCATACTCTCCAGTTCCAGCATCAGAACCTTTCGGGTGATGTGGCTTAGAGAACTCCTCAGCTGCCAGTCGCCGTGCTTCTGCCTCAATCGCCGTCTGCAGGAGACTCACACCTTCTTCGGTGGGATTCAAGATCTCAGGACGAAGACGAAGCAAATTCAAGCGCGTACTCAGGGTGGGACTCTTCTTTTCTAGAGTTTTCACCATGTGGTTCAAGGAAGAAATGGCTTCATGTGGAGGATGACTCGGCAAACCAAGGACAAGAATCCGGGATGTAGCCAGCTTTAGCCTTCTAAGTGTTGCCAAACATTCAGTGAAAGTATTTGCCTGCGGCAGGTTCCTCAAAAACGACGTCAGGCTTGACTTCTCTTCAATACCACCAGGTTGGTAGCGCTCAAGAATCGCTTCTAGGATCGTTAATGAAGGAACCACTTGACCCGCAGCTGACTCAATCACACCTCGTTTGATATCATCACTCGTCTGCGAAAGCAAAGTCATAGCCAACCTGCTCTCAAACTCCTCGCATCCGCTGGCAACAGGGGGAACATCGGGGTCATGAACCCCGGCATCCATGCGCCGTTGAAAGCGCCCCAACGCTGCATCGATTTGGTGCCTCACGAACTTTCCGAACCCAGCACCGATACACGATGCAACGGACACCATTTCGGTAGCATACTGCGAGAATTGGAGGCCTCGTTCCCATGCCTGACCTCGCGGCTCAAGAATCCTCGGGAACTCCTTCATCAACTTCCACTGGCCCCCTGCAACTCTCAGCTCATGTCCATCTAGATGGAAACCATCCTGGCTCGAGCTACGAAATTCTTTGGGAAGGGGAGGCGGCTGAGTAGGGGCATTGGCACCCCAACCCTCATTCATCCAGGCTGATTCCATGGGAAGGCCCGGCGGTTTTGTCAACCAAGAGCTGATTGGTCTGTCATCGTACGCCTCCCACCAGTCATCTTCACCAGACCTTTCATTGACCTGAAGCGGCGTCCCACTTCCAATGGAAAAAGTCTGCGGTTCCCCAAGGCTTGCTGGCGCCTGGCTTTCCTGCTGGGGTCCTGCGTCCGAGGCAATAGACTGCGGTATTACGTGACTCAAGTGACCCTGGATCTCCTCGTCACGCTCACGAAGTTTCTTGCAAATCTTTTCAACGCCAACCACACGTTCAAGGACAAGCGCCAACTGTGTCGAGGAACCTCGCTTCTCTTCTTGGGTTTTCTCATTGAGCTGTCTCACTTGCTCTTGTAGATCGTGAATGCACAATGAAGTCTTGTCGGATTGTAGCTTATGCTCCTTCAGGAAGATTTTCCTTTCAGCTTCAGGCCATTCACCTCCAGCTACAGCTTGAAACTCCAATGCGGCTATACGATCACGGATCTCATTCACTTGCTTGCTCACAGCGTCTTGAAGAAACACCTGGCCCTCTAGGTCATCAACCCTTTGACTCAAATGTCTCACAGCTGTAGCGAGCTCATTCATCTGACTTGTCAAGGTGCTGCATGCTTCACTCGCCTGGCCATAAGCCTGGCGACTCTGCAACGCTGCGTCGCGCAGCTGCTCTATTCCAGCAACAGTGGTTGTCAGGCCAGTGCCCAGCAGATTTGTGCGACGCTCCATCTCATGACGAATGCCTTCAAGGTTCTGCTGCACTTGATCCATACCAGTCATAGCAATAAGATCCCAATGATTTCCCTCTAACTGTCGCATCATTCGGACCACGTCACCATTTGCAGATCTAATCTCGTTCATTTGACGGACAAGGAACTCTGCACCTGGCGTATTCATGACAACATCCCCAACTTGTGTGCCCTGGCCAGAGACAGAAAGTGAGGAACGCTGATGCTGCTGCTGCTGCGCTTCTGCGGGATTGCTTGGAGCGTTTGGGCTCATACCCTGATGTTGGTCAGGGCTGCTTTCGGTGATTCTGCTGAAGTGTGATGGAGTGGGAGATTGAGGCAGCATCTGGAGAGGAACATCGTTCATCAAAACCCTAGATAAATCATCAGTATCCCCCGCCATCTCTTCCGCCTTGGACCTCAATCATCAACCACCTTCTTAGCCCTGAACCCCTGAACGAACGCACCCTTCACACCCTGGACTGGGTCGCAGGACTAGGGTACCAGGACAGGGGGTGGGACTAGGGTACCGGGAAGAGGAAACCAAACCCCAAAACCCGGAAGAACCCGAAAGAACCCGAAAACCAAGCTGCACTCCGTGCATTTGCTCCGAGACTTGAGCCAACATCGTTGGCATAGTTTATGGTTAAGACCTCAGTGGACGCGCTCAGCGTGTCATCCTTGCGCAGGGGCTGATGCTTCAAGTGAACATGAGTGCCTCTTTACACAAACACCCTGAACCTGGCTTCAGGCTGGACCTTATTGCTGCCAACGTGGCGAACCCAAAGTCCACGGGGCCGTATCTGCCTTCGCCTCGGGATGATGGACGACGGCGATTTCTGGTTAGGGTTTAGGGTTAAGGGTTAAGGGTTTAGGGTTAAGGGTTTAGGGTTTGGGGTTTAGGGTTTAGGGTTTCTCCTTGAGCCCCGAAGACGCCTAAAGTGTTGCTGTCCGCCACTTTGACCCATCTAACCACATTCCGAGGCTTCCTGCGTCCTTGACGACTCAGCTCATGGATCAAGCCATCAACGCTTCAGCAGGCAGGGAAGCACGTCCTCCGTGGCAGCTTGTGCTTCGATTTCCCTCCCCCCCCCCACCCACCCCCTAATAGACCTCACACTGGACCCTCAACTAGAATCCCACGTTGAACGCTAGGCCGCAGGTCCTCAACCCCAGACCTCGCCATCCTCTCCCCGACATACCCTAAACCCTAAACCCTAAACCCTAAACCCTAAACCCTAAACCCTAAACCCTAAACCCTAAACCCTAAACCCTAAACCCTAAACCCTAAACCCTAAACCCTAAACCCTAAACCCTAAACCCTATACCCTAAACCCTAAACCCTAAACTGCGGGATTCAGGCCGGCATCGGGGCTGGGTGTTGTGCGGCTGCCCGTCGTCCATGGAGGTGCCGCGGGAAGTTGCTGTTTCGGCAGAACCCATCAGAACCCCACACCCGAAAGCCCTGAACCTCATGTAGGTTTACTTTTGTTTCGAACTACATCCTTTGTGCCGGCCATGCGCTGCCCTCAAAGCCTCCTTGGCTGCGATGTGTTTGGGCAGCGGAAACCATGTCCAACCCGAAACTCCGAAAGGCCCCTTCTTTGTGTGAAATCCCACCGACTTCAACCCCCGAAGCCCGCCAGAAAGCCTCCAGAAACCATTCACAGCGCATCTGAAACATCGCCCCCCCCCCCCCCCCAAGGACTCCTGAAGCCCTGCAAGCCCTGCAAGCCCTACAAGCCCTACAAGCCCTAAGAGCCCTAAGAGCCCCACAAGCCCTACAAGCTTGAAGAGCCCTACCCTAAACCCTCAACCCTAAACCCTAATCCCTAATCCCTAAACCCCTAACCCCTAACCCCTAAACCCTAAACCCTAAACCCAAAGCCCTAAATAAACCCTAAACCCTAAACCCAAAACCCAAAACCCCAAGAGCCTCACAAGCCCTACAAAGGCTGGCTTTGACGAAGCCCCCCTCGGAACAGGAGACCTCGGCCCTTTTCTTGGACCTCCCCGTGCCGCCAAGCGAGCCGGCAGCGGATCCGAAGAAGAAGGCCAAGCCTCCCGAGGACCCCGGCTTAGGGTTTAGGGTTTGGGGTTTAGGATTTAGGGTTTAGGGTTTAGGGATTTGTTGTGTGTGGGGTTTTAAGTCCGGGCTTTCGGGTTTTAGGGTTTGGAATTCTGTGGGTTTAGGTCTAAGGGGCTTGTCCTGAGAGCTTTACCTAAACCCTCAACCCTCAACCCCCGAAACCCCAGCAGTTGAAGGGTCTTAGGCTCAGCAACGCCCAGCACTGAACGTTTAAGGGAGACCTTCAAGGTAGTTTCCGAAAATTTGGGGTGCCCTTTTTGGGCTCCCTTTAAGAGGATACCATTGTCTCTTGTGTATAAAAGGGGGTACGCCCCTATTTTGGCACACTTGGGGTTTTCATACCTCTGGAAAATGATGGGTACCTCGGGTTCATGGTAGGGCTGGGAAGGAGCAGGGTTTATTGCAAACTGTAAACCCTAAACCCTAAACCCTAAACCCTAAACCCTAAACCCTGAGTCCTCAGCCGTGGAAAACCCGGAGACCAAGCCGAACTACAACCCCCTAAAGGCTGTTGCGATCATGTGAACCCCGAAATCTGCCTTCATACGCTCGGCACGCGGAACTCCCCGCTAAACCGCGATGGCGCCCGGGTCAGGAGCCTGTGATCCCAGACGACGCCAAGGTCAAAGAAGGCTTTCAAGTCGCCGCCCGGCAAAGAAGTGCAATGCAAGGGCAATCCAAAACCCTCCGACCTTATTGGTAGGCTGCTCAGTGCTAAGTCTAGTATGCTGGGGGCCGGGCAAGGTGATTTGGGTTACAGCATCAGGCTTCACGTTTGCATTTGTTGTGGGCTCTCTTGTAGGATGTCATCAGCTCAATTGTCCAGATGCTGTAGCTGTAGCCCTAAACCCTGAACCCTCAATCTCAAACCCCAAGCCTTGAAACCCTGAGGACATGGTTATTCAGGTTACCAGCGCCGACGAGGTGTCGTTGCCGGGTTGTATCCTGCTAGTTGGTTACACGCTTCCCTTTGTTTTTCTTCCTGGAAGTGCTCTGAGCACAGTGGAGGTAGGGTCTGACAAACAGTCTAGCCCTCAGACCCCAAAAATCCTACGCCAAGCTATGCTTGGAACATTCGACGTTGCCTTGGTTGGAATCCCGTAGTGAGTGAGCAGGTATACGGTATATGGGTGCTCGTCACCTTCCAGTCAGCGTTCATCCGTTTTCAGTCGTGTTGAATGCGGTATAGATGTGTGTTTGTGAAACGTGAAAGACGATAGCCTCTTGTTGCAACCGATTCCAGCATTTGCTTGAATACATTTACATGCCTTATCCGGATTTCTAATACTGTTCTTGCTGTGAATTCCTTTGTTGCTATTGCAGTTTTTTACTACATTTCTTCTTGCAATGCTTTTTTCCTCCTACTGCTCTCAGTCTGAATATTCTTACTACAGTTCTGCTTTTGCGGTTCTCCTTATTCTTACCCTCCACCACGCGGCCACCTCATGCAGACTCTGCGCAGGTCTGTTCTGCGAGGGCGCAGGCGGCAGAGGGCAAGCCGTACGCGCCGGGCCTAGTATCCTTGCGACAGCTGCAGCCATGGCCTCGTCATAGTGGTCGCATTCAAATAAGCATATTATCAATGACGGATAGCAATTATAATGATAGCTGGAAGAACAAGGATGTAAGAGAATTATTTTGGTGTTATCCGGCCGAATAGTAGCAATCTGACAGTGTCGCGAACCCAGGCGACCTTAGCAAGTCTTAAAAGAGCCCCACAGCCTCCCAAGCAGGAAACAAGCTGTGAGCTCCTGTTGGGCTCACATGGGCTGTCCGCGCCAGGTAGAGAAGGAGTTCCAAGCAGCCCTGGATCTGTGGAAGAAGGTGGCAAACCTGCACCCTGCAGTAGTGACTGGTCAAGAAACTCTGAGCTCTGCGAAAGTGTGCGCCTGCTTGACTTTCTTATACTGTCCAGGGGTTTAGGGTTTAGGGTTTAGGGTTTAGGGTTTCGGGTTTAGGGTTTAGGGTTTAGGGTCACGCAATCACCTCGTGGGCGCAGGATACCGATGCCGTCAGTCAGTTCTTTGTCGAGCGCCTGGGTGCTGGGCAGCTGGCTCTTTCGGCCGATGCAGCGGCAGAGGCAGGATAGGGTTTAGGGTTTATGGGGTATGGGGTTTAGGGTTTAGGGTTTAGGGGTTGGGGATAGGGAGCTTCAAGAGTTCAACAGTTCCAGATCTGGCGTGCAGGACGTGAACTTACTCTGCGGCTGCGCATGGAAATAGGAAAGGAAGACAAACAAAACAGGGGTTTAGGGTTTAGGGTTTAAGGTTGAAGGAACAAGTATCTGCCTATCCCCAGGCCGAGAAAGAAAAGCATGAGGCCGAGGTGAAAGCCGCGGAGGAGGCTGCGGTTGGTCTGGATAGGTTGATACCAAGCCTTAGTAGCTGAGTGAGTACGCTTAGGGTTTAGGGTTTAGGGTTTAGGGTTTAGGGTTTAGGGTTTTGGTTTAGGGTTTAGGGTTTAGGGTTTAGGGTTTAGGGTTTAGGGTTTAGGGTTTACACTTTTGGGATGCTATAATCTCTACAAAACTACAAGTGTACACTTGTTGGGAGCTCCTGAACTCAGCAACTAAGAAGCAATAGAAACAAGTGCAGCACAGTTTTGGGGCTTAGGGTTCAGGGTTTCAGGGTTCAGGTTTCAGGGTTTAGGGTTCAGGGTTCTCAGGGTTTCAGGGTTTAGGGTTTAGGGGTAACAAGTAGCAGATGTCAGAACACGTTGCTAGCAGCGAAGGCTCATGCCATGCGACAGCAGACCTCGGGCCTCAGCTGGCTAAGAAAGCAAAGAGCTTACTGTTGGTTAGCAGGGAATGGGGGAATGAGGTACCCTACATCATCCCTTAAAGGGTACAGATATATCTATACATTTATATATATATATATATGCATATCTATATATATATATATGTATATATATATATATATATATACATAGATATATATATATACATAGGGCCCCTATATAATCACTTAACGGGACTCTACAAGGGCCCTAGTTCCCACATTCCCTGCTAGCCAACAGCAAGCAAAGGAGGAGCGAGAAGCACCTCCTGCCCCGGATCCTGCAGATCTCGTGGTCCTGGCGCCCGGACCTGAGCCGCGGCACCGGGCCCATCAGGGGGTTTGGGTTTAGGGCCAAAAGGCCCCAAAGGCCTCAAGGCCCTAAAGGCCCTAAACCCTATAAACCTTATAAACATCTTATAAACCCTATAAACCTTATGAATCCTACAAACCCCACAAGCCACAAACCCGCAAACCCTAAACCCTATATACCCTTTAACCCTTTGCCCATGAACCCTGCAAACCCCACAAGCCCCACACACCCTACAAGCCCTAAAAGCCCTACAAGCCCTACAAGCCCTACAAACCCTACAAGCCCTGCAAACCCTACAAAATCCCATGAACCCTACAAACCCTACAAAATCCCATGGACCCTACAAACCCTACAAACCCTACAAACCCTACAAAACCCCATAAACCCTACAAACCCTACAAAATCCCATATTCCCTACAAACACTACAAACCCTACAAAAATCCCCGAAAGCCCTACAACCCCTACAAACCCTATAGACTCTATATACCTTATACAAACCCTATATACCCTGTATACCCTATAACCCTACAAGCCCTACAAACCCCTAGAAACTGCAGGTCAGGATCCTGGGCCTGGGTGGACAACGCGATCTCCACCGTGGTGGAGGCATTGGAGGCCTGGGCCACCGGAGCGCAGACTGGGTCGAGAATTTTTTGGGGTATGGGGTTTAGGGTTTAGGGTTTGGGGGGTTTAGGGTTTAGGGTTTAGGGTTTAGGGTTTAGGGTTTAGGGTTTCCTGTTTGCGCCTTCTGGCGGTTCTGCCCTGTTACAGGTAGGCAGCTGCAAGAAAGGGGACCATGCCGAGCCCAAGAGGGCCAATAGGAACTCGCTGGCCAGCGGGGTGTTCATTACCAGGATGGGCGAGTAGGGCCGATAATCCCCACAATGAGACCTATAAAGGGCCTTTACTTTTTAAGGGGTTATATAATAGCCCGTCCTGGTACACACACACAAGTACCATTTGCTTAAGAACCCACACAAAACAAAGAATAATAATCCCTATATCTCCCGAATAAGGAAGAACATTTTTGGTTTTTGCGTGGTTCTTAGCAAATAGTACGCAAGAGTCCTCACTTTGAGGGGTCACATCGGTCATGGCTGCAAGAAGCGTCGTGGAGCCGTGTGGCGAAGGGGTGCAAGGCCTTTCGTTGAGGGCACCGGTTTCTCTGCGCACAAGAAAGTGCATCGCTGTTCCCATAACAGGCCTGAGACGCATTCGACTGCTGGGCTTTGGGGCTTATGTTCGAGAATCCTCCCAACATTGCACCGCTTGTTTCTTTACCTAGAACCATGAGTCCCAAACCAGTCCCATTGAGCATGGTGCATCACTTAGCTGCCTTTGCCCATAATTTCACCCCAGCCTTTGCCCATAATTGAGGAAGACGCTCGGCCATTGGGCTTTTAGCTAAAGGGTGTTAGGGTTTAAGAGTTTAGGGTTTATAGGGTTCAGGGGGTATACGTTTAGGGTTTAGGGTTTAGGGTTTAGGGTTTAGGACTTTGTTCCAGAGGCGCGCCGGCCCATCTTCAACTTCTTGCCAGCTCCTGGGCCACCTGCGCCCCAAGCGCCTCTAGCAGACGGCGCGGCGGCGGCGGAGGAGGCAGTTGAAGTGGTTTAGGGTTTAAATTTAACGCTACGCGAGCCGGCCTGAGCTTCTGTAACAAAGCTTGGGCGCGGGGGGCAGGGAAAGGCCTCGGTTTGGGGGGGGGGGGGAGGCCTATGCACCGTCTGCTCCCGAACCCATTTCAGGCCAAAATGTGCAAAATAAACAGGTCCTGCTTTGTGCTACCCAGACACCTACGGCCCAAGGCCTCGGCGGATTAGGGTTCAGGGTTCAGGGTTCAGCGTTTATAAGGGTTTGGGGTTTAGGGTTTAGGGCTATAGAGTTTCGGGAATGTTTTGGGTGTTGGGGTGTAGGGTTTAGGGTTGTACATACATTGTCAGTTCTCTAAATTACAGTCCCTTTTGGGTACCCTAAAGAAGAGGGGCCGCCTTATTAAATCAGGATCTCAAATCGGACTATATTTAAGAGAAGTGACCGCCTAGCTTCCAGTTGCAAAAAACTTGGGGCTGGCTGGGACAGATGGCTACCTTGGGGCACGTTGGAGTCTTTTTGGCCGGGGCCTTCTTGGGTGCGCGGACGCGCACGCACCCGATTTCTGGAGGCTGGGCTCACACTTCAAAGCCTCTTGGGAGGGCGGCTTGAATAGATCGGGTTTAGTGTTTAGGGTTTAGGGTTTAGGGTTTAGGGTTTAGGTTGTTTTGTGCAGGCTTCCGTTAGGTCTTACAACCTGCCCCTTTCTAGGGTTGATGAGGGGGATTCCAGGGCCTAACCCTAAACCCTAAACCCTAAACCCTAACCCTAAACCCTAAACCCTAAACCCTAAACCCTAAACCTTAAACCCTAAACCCTAAACCCTAAACCCTAAACCCTAAACCCTAAACCCTAAACCCTAAACCCTAAACCCATCCGGGTCAGGGATCCGGGTCTATAGAGCTGAGGGATCGCACAGCTGTGGAGGCATCGGGGGATGCCACAGCGGCTGTGGCACAAAGCGACGACACTTCGGTTGAACGCGAGTCGGGTGCTTCTAGTTTGGGTTGAGGGTTGAGGGTTGAGGGTTGAGGGTTGAGGGTTGAGGGTTGAGGGTTGAGGGTTGAGGGTTTAGGGTTTAGGGTTTAGAGTTTGGCGCTTTGGGTTTATAGGGTTTAGGGGTTAGGGGTTTGGGGTTTAGGTTTCGGGTTCTTCGCCCTGCAGCCACGGCATATCTTTCTGTTGTGTGCCGCCTGGTTCTGTTGCATGGAATACCACCAGCTGATCGGCGTGCGTAGACTTAGTATAGAAGGGCATTTTGTCACGATTCAAAATGTTACGAGCAGATCTGCGCCAGTGAGCGTAATGACAACTTACAAGCTTGAACAGGTGCTTACATTGTCCACGTTGCCTCAATCCCGCGAAAGACTAGCCAATGCTGGCTGCAAAGTAGTGCTTGCGTGGAGATGCCCAAGTGCAAACACCGTGATTCCAACAACGGTCTGCGCTTTTTTATCGAGCAGCAGAGATCGCTCCAGCAAGGCACACAGTGAAACGCAACACATGCCTGTGACAAGCGGCCATGTTCATGCCCAGTCAAGAGCTGTCTGAGGAGCGTCTCAGGCACGAGCAGCGTGTGGTGCCTCTGCTTGCAAGTAGACATGATCAGAGATCCTGTTGTGCACCCCCCCTCCCCCCTCACCCTCAGAAGAGTCCGTAATGTCAAGACAGAAGACACAGCATGTCCAGATGTTGTAATTTAGAGTCGGCGACTCTCTGAAGTTTGCAGTTTGTAATTGGTCGACATCCTCAACCCAACAGAAGGGCAAGAACGGGTCCAAGCCACGATTCATCATGTTTAAGCGTCAACCCAACGATCAGAATGACAAGAAAGGGTCCAAGTCAAGATTCATCATGTTTATAAGCGTCTGCTCCATCTTGCTCACAAATCCTTGCCGAATTCCGGTCACGCAGCGCCCACGGCCCAGGAGCACGTGAAGAAGGAGGAGTTGGTGCCTGCCTTACCATTACTCACCTTTGCTTCTGCCAGTGGATGGGGGGAGTTTCAGCTTTCCAACTTGTTGAATTGGGAGCCCGAGCCCTGGAACTTCAAACGCCGATTGCGGCAAACCCTAAACCCCAAACCCTAAACCCTAAACCCTAAACCCTAAACCCTAAACCCTAAACCCTAAACCCTAAACTCTAAACCCTAAACCCTAAACCCTAAACCCACAGGCGCGCTTGGAGAAGCATTCCGAGCCCCTCCGCCTCTATCTCATGAAGTTCGTTGCAGCGGGCTCAGCATCGTTGGTACCGGTCCGTGTGGTCCCTGCAGCTCGGGTACCAGACAGGGAAGTTCCTGAAAACGTGCGGCTTTTCACATCTTGCCCAGGAGCGCACGGAATCCTGAGAAAGGGCAGCCCTCCAGCCTCGTAGCCTGCTTCGAAGTACCTGTGCAGTTTAACAGCGGTTTGTGAGCTCGATATCCTGCCCAAGTAAACTCAAGACCTGAGCGGCAGCCTCACTCCTAAACCCTCAGCCCCAAATCCCAAACCTTAAGCCCCAAACTCCAAACCCCAAACCCTAAACCCCAAACCCCAAACCCCAAACCCTCAAGCCCTAGCCCTAAACCCCAAGCCCTAAACCCCAAGCCCTAAACCCCAAGCCCTAAACCCCAAACTCCACACCCTATCCCTAAACCCCAAACCCTCCCTCCTCCCTCGCCCTGGAGGTTCCAGCGCTCACAGGCGCCCTGGTGGATGTCTGTCGAGAGCAGCCGGAAGACCCCGCCGGGGCCCCATTTGTGGGGTCTTCGGGGGATCAAGGGGGATCATGACTGCCATCTGCTTAAGAACCACCCCCAAGATTGAAGGAGAGTACAGTATGATCCCTGTATTGCCCTTATAAGACAGAATCTTGCTGATTTTATTGGGGGATCTTCAGCAAGTAGTAGATTCGGGGGGGATCATGGGGCTTAGGGTTCAGGGGTCTCTGCTTATTAGCGGGATTATGACGTAGTGGGGGTACATGGGTGTTCGGGGTAGCTGTTGGAGGTGCTAGGGGTTTCAGGCTTTCCTTCTTGGGAGATCTACTTGTAGGGCCTTTAGGGGAAGCGCTGAATCGGTAGCTTCAGAAGGCGGACCAGTTCCCAGTCCAAATTCTAGGCAAACCCCCCCACCTTGGCCCCCGATTGTAGATTCAAGACTTCCTCCTAAGCCCTAAACCCTAAACCCTAAACCCTAAACCCCAAACCCCAAACCCCAAACCCCAAACCCTAAACCCTAAACCCTAAACCCTAAACCCTAAACCCCCGTGGCACTTTGTCGCTTAGGTTTAATCACTGCTGACAGTCAGCGACCAGGAAAAGATCAACTCACCCTCACATCCTGAACTTACACTAGAATTCCGCAAGTTTCGGACCAGGGTTTAAATTTAGGGCTTAGGGTTTAGGGTTTAGGGTTTAGGGTTTAGGGTTTAGGGTTCCCCAGAAAACCAAACTGACTTGCTGCACCAAACACCTTGAAGACCGAAACTTCCTGTGTCTTTTCAGCTGGGATGTAGTCCCTTACAGGAAACTGTGTTCCAAGCACGCGTCAGCAAGCTCATAGGCCGAATTCCGGACCCTTGGAACTTCTCCCCCGCAAACCCCCCACCACCACAAAGGATAGGGAGTATACTACACAAGAGACCTCAAAAAAGTATCCAGTTATCGTCATACGGTCAGTTCTCTAAATTGCGATCCCTTTTTGGGGTCCCTAAACAAGGAGGGGCCGCCTCACAACAAGGACCCCAAAGGACCGTATTTTAGAGAAGTGACCACATCAGCCCCCTGGCTCCCCAACCAACCCCCCAGTCGACAAGAAGCTCCGCAGCGAGGTGGGTTACTTGGCCGAGTACCTGTCCCTCTACTCGGAGGCTGGTGCTTTCATTTGTATAGGGTCATCTAATCTATGGGAAGTTGCATCGTCCCCTTAGTATGGCCCCTTACCTTCTGCTAAAGGGTTCTGAAGTATGGTCCTTTGGTATACAAGGGGTATATAAAAGCATATTCTATTAAGGTTCCCTAGGCACCCTTTGTCAACATCCAGGGATCCGGGCCATGAACGTCTCAAGGTTGGTTGGCTGTAAGGCTTGGATCTAAACCCTAAACCCTAAACCCAAAACCCAAAACCCAAAACCCAAAACCCTAAACCCTAAACCCTAAACCCTAAACCCTGCTGACAGGTCTCTGCGGAGAGGCGAGCGGCGCGGGCAGCAGAGGGGAAGTCATAGCGAGGCCACCCCCGGGATGAGGGACTTCCTCTTGGTAGCCCAGTGGTACCCTGTACTAGGCCCTGTACACTTTTTTTTTGGTTAAGGGTTCAGGGTTTAGGGTTTAGGGTTTAGGTTTAGGGTTTAGGGTTTAGGGGGTATGGGTTCCCTTAGGAAGTAACCAACCAACAAAAGGGGTGCCCTTATTATAATATGGTTACTGGCTAGCAAGTCCAAAACCCGGAAGCCTTACAGTTCAGCTTCAAGACGAGAACCTGCGCAGGTACGTCCAGGCACTCTGAGTTCCGAGAGCGAAAGAAATGTACATAGATGGATGTTTAATTTATCTGTGTAGATTATGGAAACATCTAGAGTATGCCCGAAACACACACACTAGCTGCATATTCCGTGCCTCAGAAGCTTTCCGAATGCGAGGCGTTGGACACCTCCCGTTGTGAGCAATGGGGTAGTTTCACTTCAAGGCGGAGTCAATGCTGACCGCGAAGCCTATGGTTGCATCTCGATCTGGGATTAAAGGGTTTAGGGTTCAGGGTTTAGTCTAGTCTGAGTTCTGCGTCAAGCTGCGTGCGAACCCTAACATCTCAAAGACTCAGCGGCTCCTTGTTTCTGGCACGGGGCAGCAGTTAGCGAGCAGGAAGGACTCCTGAGAAGCAGATGATTGCAGTGATCCGCAAGTGCTGCCGCTGCCATGTTCTGTTTCACCAGAGCATGTCTTGATGTCTTGATGTGCCGCGCAAGATGCGCGGGAAAGACAATGGGATAAATGAAACAAATGGGATCCGCAAGATTTCGGGATGCTTCGCACCTCTGAAATCCTAAAGCTGAGGCGATGCTACACTGGGAAGTTGTGACATCAACTCGCTTGTGTTCTGATTCCAGTGATCCTACTGTCACCTCAGATGTACGTTCGCCTTAAGACATCTCTAGATTCGATGCAGGCGAGCCAACTGACATCCTATTCGACGGCCTTTTTCGGCTGACAAATCTGAAGATGGTTGGTTGGCCCCCTTGCGTAAGCCTCGTTCCTGTTGGACGCTGTAACTTGGGAACTGTCCCCAAATGAGCCACACACTTGTCGTCATTTTGTTGACAGCATGGCGGAGGAGAGGGCTCACGCAGAACATCCTGAAAGAGGCGCGTTTTGAGCAAGGTGTCCAGTCCTGGCAGAGCAGTGCATGTCGTGTGGGGAGGTCGTCCGCAGCTTAATTCCGTTTAAGCAGTTGACTATATAACTATATATGCCCCCTGCAGCATGACGATGCACAAGATCTGGTCTAGGCCCCGGATGTGATCAAGAGATTTTGTCGACACCAGTTCGATTTCTTGCAACTAATTGCCGCCGAGCCATGGCTCCCCGAAGCAGCCTCACGAGCATATTGCTGCTGGCTCCATGCCTGATTCGGAATGCCTACGTGTTTAGCACTCATTCAGGTCGTGCTAGAGCTCAGCCTGCGTGCGCATGCTCGATGTAGCATGCCCATGCGGTGTTGGGTGTCCAGTAGTCGCGATTCTACTCCACGCTCACGCTTGCCCAAGCAACCTGGAACTCTAAACCCCTCAACTCCCAAACCCTAAACCCGAAACCCTAATCCCAAAACCCTAAACCCTAAACTACCCTAAACCCTAAAAGCCCTAACCCCTCAAGAGCCACCACAGCCTCCTTCAGGCTGCAGCTGCTACTGCAGCTCTGAACCTGTGCTTCACAGGACGCCCCTGCGTCCATACCGAGCTTGCCTGCACAGCCCTTGTAGATAGGTTGAGGGTTTAGGGTTTAGGGTCTGGGGTTTAGGATGTAGTACTTTAGGGTTTTGGGTTTTGGGCTTCCATACCGGGTGCTGCTCTCAAGATTTGGTGTTTGGCCCTGCAAGGAAGATATCTGACTATGGTAAGAGATGGTTTCGGGGAGTTCTCGAGTGGTCAGTTCCTTGAAGACTCTGAGAGATTCCAAAGGGCAGTAGGCCATCAATGGCTAACCCACAGGACTCTCGCAGCCTTCGATCCGAACGCCCCAAACCCTCAAAAGGCTAAGAGTTCATGCCCCTATATATATATATATATGTATGTAGAGGTATGTGTATATGTACATGTAAATAGATATCTAAGCATTTAAAAAAACATCTAGAAACATGTACATAGATGCAGACATCTACACATTACATATATATATATATATATGTAATAGCCATATGTGTGTGTGTGTGTGTGTGTGTGTGTGTGTGTGTGTGTGAATTTGTGTAATTACTTAGAACATATACACATATGTATATATACACACACACATCGGTTTAGATCTGTCTCTCTCTCTCTCTATATATATACATATATAAATATATATATATATATATATAAATAGATAAATACACATATACATATACATATACATATACATATACATATACATATACATATACATATACATATACATATACATATACATATGTATGTATGTATGTATGTATGTATGTATGTATGTATGTATGTATGTATGTATGTATGTATGTATGTATGTTTGTGCGTGCAGTCGAAAAGGCTGCCCCTGAATGAGGGCCAGCACGCTCTTCGGTGCAGCGGCAGCGTAGCGCCGTGGTGCGGCCGGCGGTCAGCAAGGAGGAAGCAAAAGTGCTGCCGCGCGGCTGCAGCAGTTCAGCAACTCCTGATACCCTAATAGTGATACCCTAAACATTACATCTTAAAAATTCAATACTTTAATAATTACTATCACCCCCAATGTTTGGGCACATCTGCAATCAGCCTCACGAGCCTCCTGCTAAGTCGACAAGTACCAGTCATCACTGGTCAAATCATGCAAAAGGCAGGGGGGAAAGTTGCTGTTGGGACATCACGTCACAGGCCAGGAGATACACAGTTACTTTTTCCCTAATAATTACTGATAACTTACGGGTTCCCTTTAGCCGTTTGAGCTTGCCTGCATGTTGGGCTGTGGTAGAGCAAGGGAACCATTGCATCAGCGCAGCCACCGCGTGGATCTCTTGGTGTGTGCTAGTTGGTGCATCTGTGTGGTCGAGGCTTGGTGTCTCAAGTTACCCCCAGGCGAAAGCTGCACCCATCTGCAATTCTTCAGGGTCACAGCAGTCAAGGCCCTAACCCTACACCCTAAACCCTAAACCCTAAACCCTAAACCCTAAACCCTAAACCCTAAACCCCAAAACCCTAAACGCTCTTGTGCTTAGGAAGCTGTGCCGGGAACTGAGACTGCCTCTGCATGTGCACCAGCCTCACGGTCCACGTGCTAAATATGATCTTAGGCAGCTGCTTGCACCAGCATCACACTGCTTTCTTGTTGAGGAACGTAAGTTCGGGTTTAGGGTTTAGGGTTTAGGATTCAGCGTTTAGGGTTTAGGGGTACTAGCTTGAAGCTTCCTCAACAAGATCCGGGAAACTTCCTATTCTGAACATAACCTCTGCGAAGTTTGCCTGGTCAGGTGATGAGTATCCTGCAGACGCGGATGCCGATGACAAAGAGGAGTTTGCCAGTTGACTCATTGTGGGCCCCCAGTGTTTTGGTTTGCCATGTTTTTTCAAGGGGTGCAGGTCCACACAGAAGGGGTACCCGTTCAATCAGGAGCTCCTGACAGCGGTCAAGAAGCTGCCTGGAACCAGCAGGGTGGAGTCTTATGAGCTGCTTTGCTTCAAAAGGCAGGACATGGTCATGCCCAAGCCATTTGCAGGGTTTAGGGTTTAGGGTTTAGGGCTTAGGGTAGCAGATTTTCTTGGGTGTGGATGTGTTGCATTTGGGCTTACATGCGCCTCTTTGCATGAAAGCCATCAGAGTGACACCTGCGGTAACCTCAAATATGACCACAGCAGCGATAGCCAAAGTAGCCGTAGCTTTTTGTGGCAGAGATGCACTGCATGTTCGGAGCCAAGGCGTTTTGTGGGCGACTGGAAGGTCGAGTGGAGTACCTTGGTCTTGCTTTTCACTGCCACCGTTCTTTGTGTTCTCAACATCAAGAAGGGGCCCTGTGGTTCGAGTAGTGGCAGCTTTTGAATGGATTGAAGCTCATGGCTTCCCTCACGGAGGTACCCTGGGTGGTCGCGCTTTTCAGAAGCGCAAAGGAGGCGGAGATCAACCCCCGATGAGTCTCAGCAGCCCCTAAACCATGAACCCTAAACCCCTCTTTGAGCCCGGAGGCGCAAAGCCTTATCCATTTGCCGAGTGTGCGGGTGCGCCCCAAGGACTCTCAAGTTCGTCTCATTCACAGCCCCTTGGCCACAGATAGGGTGCTTTCTTTTCCAGAGTTTCCGAACTGTGAGTTGCTGGGCAGTTGCTCTGAGCCTAAGGCGTTGCCCAACACTCCGGTACAGTGTCTGGGCATGGGTTTAGTTTTGGGCTGGGGGTCGAGACCGGGGTCCATTTCTGTCACTACCGGCTGCAGTGTCTTTCCTTGCGGCAACAAGTCATCCTCAAGAGTGGTGAGACGAGGTTCACCGGTTCCTACAACAGAGCACCTCGACTCGAACTTGTGGTGCACTTTCTGTGTAAGTCTAGCATCGGCGTTTTCACTCGCAGGTTTCTGGCACAGAGATGGGCGGCACCTACCAGTTGCTCCAGACATTCACGCTGCCAGAGCCCTAGTGGACATTGGCTGCTCTCGCCAGATGTTTCACGGGCAAGAGATTGGGAGGACAAGGTATAGGGTTTAGGGTTGAGGGTATTTAGAGGCGACTTTGACAGGGAGTTCATGTAGTTCCTCGGATGCCCCCCCCCCCCCCCCCCCGAGTTCATGTAGTTCCTCGCTGCCCCCCCCCCCCCCCACCCTCCCCTAAAAAGTTCTGTAATTCAGAGAGTGACTCTCCATAAACCCAAAACTCTAAGCCCCTAGGCCCGAAGCCCTAAGCCTTAAGCCTTAAACCCTAAACCCTAAACCCTAGGCCCTAAGCCCTACCCTAAACCCAAAACCCAAAACCCACCCTAAACCCTCAACCCTAAACCCTACACCCTAAGCCCTATGTGGCTTTCTGCAACCTTCCCAGGCCCGACAACAAGGAGGGCACCGAGGCAGCCATGGTTCTGGAGGGAACCTGGGGAGCCTCAACTAAAACAGTAGTGGAGGGTTTAGGGTTTAGGGTTTAGGGTTTAGGGTTTAGGGTTTAGGGTTTAGGGTTTAGGGTTTAGGGTTTAGGGTTTAGGGTTTAGGTGGTGAACCCGGTTGCTTTTGGGCATTGTAAACGCTTGCGCAGGCTTGCCCAACGCGGGTTCCACGGGGGTCTCAAGAGAGCCATGGGCCTTAGGCAGGGGCAGATTGCCACGGCCTGCAAGCATCGCAGCATCGGGTTTCGGTTTTTGCAGGCGGTTTGGGCAGGTCCCGCAGCGGGGTGACTGGTCAGGGGTAAAGGAAGTGGGGAAATAGACCAGATCCTCGTCCGCTTGTTCTAGACCCTTCTCGGCTGAAAGCCGAGACGAATTTAGATATTTTTTGTTTTGGGTGTACAAAAGGGGGTGTCTTTTGAAGGGGTTTAAAGGCCAAGCCAATGAAGGGTTGAGAGGGTTCAGGGTGTTGGGGTTTAGGGCTTTTCGAGTTTTACCTCTTTCGTTGTTTTGCGTTTAGGGCTTGGGGTTTATTGGTTCTGGCGTGTTGGAGATGCAAAAATCAACTTCCAGACATTCGGGCAGTCCCACGCTGCAGGGGTGCGGCTTCTTTTGCCCACAACTTGCTTTTACATCCCGCTTGTGCCCCTGTGCCTCAAAGTTGGGCTAAATTTCGTAAGGGAGATCGAGTCGCGGACCCCCATTTTTAGTTGTGCTTCTGAGCCCAGGGCGTCCTTTGAAGCTCTGATTCTAGGGGGAGGGGGAGGGGGGGGGGTGAGGAGGGTGCGTACACCATAGAGGGCATAGGGACGCTAAGAACCCTAAACTCCCTAACGGCCCAGCAATGCTGAGGACAAGGTGAGGCGGAGGGCAACTGGGGCAAGGGTGCGCCGAGGACACGAGTGCCTTTCCTGAAATGGCTTTAGGGCCTGTAGCTTGGGATGCATTAACAGTCCTTAATAGGGATTATAATAGGGGGTACTATAATCCCTATGAAGGACTGTTCGGATAAAAGGGGAACATCTCAACCTACAGCGTCGAAAAGGCGAAGGAACCCTAAACTTGAAGCTCCCGTGCCATTGGAACCCGAACCTCGCTGTACCCATCTGTACCCTACCAGGATGGGCTATGAGGCCCTATAATCCCCATAGTCAACCCTACAAGGGCCGTTTTAAGGGTTATAGGGTATAATCGCTCGTCCTGGTAGGGCTCAGACTTTGTGAGGGTAGGGGTTTGGCAGGAAGGGGGCTGGTTGCCAGCAAGAGTTGTTTTTTGCTTGTTCTTCCTGTGCTTGTCCCATGTCGTAGTCATTCAGCTCCTTGCGCAAGGTCCCGACTGAGTTTCAGACAGTTCGGCTGGTACCCTCTGTGAAGGACGAGGAGAAGAGCAGCCGGCTCAGATGAATGTCGCCGGATGTTTGTAGGGCCCTATGTGTTCAGGAAGATCTTCTCAACCTGGTTTTCATGCATCTCATCACCTCGCATCTCTAAGCACACAACGAACAGAAAGACCTTGCACGTTGCAATCAGAATTCATCGAAAGGTGTACGAGCCTGTGCATATCTAATTCTAGGCAATTCTTTGCGAGTATGCCGAGTCGAAGCACACACGCACACACCCCGGACACGGTCAGAGCAGCGACACCTTACACAGTGCATGAGGCCGGGCAATGCTGGAAGAAGCTGGCCTAGGCTGGAAGGTTTAGGGTTTAGGGTTTAGGGTTTACGGTTTAGGGTTTAGGGTTTAGGGTTTAGGGTTTAGAGTTTAGGGTTTAGGGTACTAGTTGATTTAGCGTTGATGGGCAGACAAGCAGGCAAATACTTCGAGCGGACGCCGGTCAAGGCAAAGGCGACATACATCGACCTGCAGCATGTGAGCCCTCTGGACTGCAAGAGTTTAGGGTTTAGGGTTTAGGGTTTGGGGTTTAGGGTTTAGAGTTTAGGGTTTAGGGTTTAGGGAGTCTGAAAGCTTGGATAAAGAGACCTTGGAGAGTTGCCAGACTCTGCGATTCCGGTGCTCACGATGCCCTGTGTGCTTGAGGCTGTGTTCACTCTGAGCAAATGCAGCCAGACTATTCGTGGTGAAGCCGTTATCTGGCTGGTTCTGAGTAGGGGATGAGGGAATGAGGACCCTGTATAATCCCTTCAACGGTATTTATAGGGCCCGAATTCCCTCATTCCCTACTAAGAACCAGGCGGTTATGCCCCACGCGCCGGAGTATAGGTGTGCTTCTAACCCTCTAAGGGAAGTTACGCAGTGTGTGTCGGGGGTCGACAAGGGGCCCCCGCCCCCATTGAAGGGCCCATACTAAGGGACCGTGCAACTACCCTTAGAAACCCGGAGCCTCCGAACGCCAACTAGAATTCTGCTTTCACGCTGCATGCAACGAAGGTGAAGAGATGCGCCTGCATCAGGCGGGGTCTCACTGCTAGCGGGGCCTATGAAGAGAGAGAGAGAGAGAGAGAGAGAGATGATCTTTTACTTATTATCACATAGTACCTATGTTTGTTGTTATATAGTAAATTATATAGGCGTAGGGCCTCATCGGGGTTTTAGGAGTCGGATGTCGGCCCCGACTCTCCTAGGGTTTAGGGTTTAGGGCTGCAAGCGCTCCCACACTGGAGAAGTGCTAGGCAGATGCCGTATAATCATGTATATACATATGGTTGTCAAAAAATTGTGATCCCTTTTGGGGGACCCTAAATATTAGGTGCAGTATTATAATAGGGATCCAAAAAGGGACCATAATGTTGACAAACAATATATGCTGTAGGAAGTGGACCTGAGCTAGCATGCCAGCATCTGTTGAGCTCATGGATCTTGGAGTCAGATGTTGCATTCTTGGGCACCGGTAGGGCTGGGCACTAGGGGAGCGTGCATATGGTACATCTTCCATCTCATCATTATTGCGCAGCAACAGTGCCTGCAAGAGAGCTGCGCATGTTCTGGTTTCGACATCCTCACACAAAAACAATATAGGGGTTACTATTAGTATTCCCCTTATGGTCCCTTTATCATTATACGATAATAACCCCCTGGACCCTATTCTAATTATATTACATGCCAGGGCGAGTCGGGCCAGATGTACATCCTCACCAAGATCGGTGACGGTGAGATTCCCTTCGTTCTTGAGTGAAATGGCCCTGGTAGGACGGGCTATTAAACCCTATAACCCCCTGCAGAGAAACGCCCTTTATAGGGTTGATTATGGGGATTCTAGGGCCTAGTAGCCCATCCTAGTGGTAGTGATGGATTTTAAAGCTCAATTCTTCAATCGGCCCGGGCTGATATTCCTGGCAGCTTCGGGGCTCCAGCGGGCGGAGCAAGTGCTCTCACCGGTTTTAGACACTGGCTGCGTTTTTGCTGCGCCCCTGTCTCCCGTTGAGTACGCGCCACCAGTCGGACAATCACAACAAAAAGGCCTGGATGTACACTGTGCGAAATTCTAATAGTCGCAATGACACTACCCATCTCTACTCACAGAGCATCAGAGGTTCCTGCGTTGCTATGTTGGGGCGACGAATCGGAACTGGGATAAGCAGGGTAGTGGGGACTCAGAGGCAACTTAGGGACAGTTTCGCAATAAACGGCGCTTCATCGTCACAAAGTGCAGCACTGTGAGGCATCTGAAGGACTGGGGGTGGAGTTCCTGCCCGACCAGATCGCCAAGCTACAGCCGAAGGACCATTTGTCTCTCCCACACAAGGCTTCACACCATCCGAAGCAGGATGTACTTAGCACCTGAGCGGAGAAGCTGCAGGCATACCCACTGAATCCTCACAGCCCTGTGGCAGTTTGTCATGTCTTATGAACAAGGGGCAGGTGGAAAATGCATTGAAATCCCTCTCTACGTCATGATTGGGTAAGGACTCCATGAACTAATGCCGGAACAGCATGGGATCTCCAAACAGCATTCGTCCGGAATCAGATGTTTCATGTCGGAGTGCATCATACTGTATATTTTGAGCCTAATGTGCTAGGACCGGGAGTAGGCCCTTTTTCCTTTTTTTTGGGGTTGGGTTCCCTTTTAATCCCCTTAAACCCAAAAAGGGCACCCGTAAAATTCCTAGGTTACTCCCGGGTCTAGTGTGTCAATGTCTGGAGCAGGATGGATGCTTTGCACGCGCCACTTTGAGGTTGGAGTGGCCCAGAGCAGCTTGGCACCCAACAGTTCGGCCCCACCCTCCACACCCCCCCCTCCCCCCCTCCCCCCCCTCCCCCCCCTCCCCCCCCTCCCCCCCCTCCCCCCCCTCTCCCCCCCTCCCCCCCCCCCCCCCTCCCCCCCTCCCCCCCCCTCCCCCCCCTCCCCCCCCTCCCCCCCCTCCCCCCCCTCCCCCCCCTCCCCCCCCTCCCCCCCCTCCCCCCCCCTCCCCCCCCTCCCTCCCCCCCCTCCCCCCCTCCCCCCCCTCCCCCCCCCCTCCCCCCCCTCCCCCCCCCTCCCCCCCCGCCCCCCCCCCCCTCCCCCCCCCTCCCCCCCCCCCCCCCCCCCTCCCCCCCCCTCCCTCCCCCCCCCCCCCAAAACAAAAAAAACATCAATAAAACAAATAAACTAAGTTAGAAATTACAAACACACATCAGTAATTACATCTTGGAGATTACTCCGCCTTGCCTTTCCTGCAGCCCCAACGGCAAGGTCAACGTCCTGGACGAAAACACGTTCGAGGCAGCTGACATCTATCTTCCGTCCCTCCAGCAACCTTTAAGTTATTCGAAGCCCCGAAGCCTTAAAGCCCTGAAAACCTGAAAGCCTCTAATTGCAAGAGGGGGCTCTGAAAGGGTTCATGGGCAGGTGCCTGTGGCGGCCACGGGACAATGTCCAAGCCAGATCCTTAGTTTGAGGGATGCCTGGGGCCGAAGGTTCAAGGGGGCTTAGGGTTTAGGATTTAGGGTTTAGGGTTTAGGGTTTCGGGCTTTAGGGTTTTTGGGTCTACTGCAGTCCTTTCGCTGTAAGAGTTTTAAGCTTACGAACTTGGGGTTGGAGGGCTTTAGGGCTTTAGGGCTTTGGGGCTTTAGGGCTTTAGGGCTTCAGGCCTTTAGGGTTTTACACCTGGATTGTGCATTGTAAGGAGGGTCTACACATGTACAGGTCGCACACTATCTATCAAAACCATCGGCTTACGAGGTTGCTCCACAGACAAACAGGAGGGCACTTGCCCAACTCCTACTTCTGAAGGGTTTAGGGTTTAGGGTTTAGGGTTTAGGGCTGCGAAGACAGACATGGGTTTCATGAGACAGGCAAGGCATCAGGCGTGAGGAAGGGCAATAAGGGCTGGTCAGGCATCACAAGAGGACAGAGGAGGTCGCGGAAGAGTATGGGTTTTGGAGTTTAGGGTTGAAGGTTCAGGGTTTAGGGTTTAAGGTTTAGGGTTTGGGGTTTAGGGGTCGTGGTGGTCACGGCTCCGTCCTCAGTGTGTTAAGAACCCCCCCCAAAATGAAAACATTCTTCCCTCTAAGGGTAAGAAGAGGATTACTATCCTTTTTTGGGGGGGTTTCTGAATTTGGGATGTACGGGACTATAGTACCCCGTACCCCCATTATATTCTCTTCTAAACCATCCCAAATAGCAGTTTTGGGCTTGCCCTCCTGGTCTGTCGAAATTCGTCCTGGTCCCCGAACTGCCCTAACTCCCCCCCTGCCCCATAGCCCTAAACCCTAAACCCTAAACCCTAAACCCTGAACCCTGAACCCTAAACCCTAAACCCTACACCCCCCTGGCCCCCAACGTCTTCAGCTCTCGGCTGTGAGGCCATCCGCATCCTCTCCTCTACCTGCGCACCTCGCAGGACGCCGCAAGCCGCAAAGCCTGCTCAGAGATGTAGCTGCTTCCCCCCCCCAAAACCCTAGACCCTAGACCCTAGACCCTAAACCCTAAACCCTAAACCCTAGACCCTAAGCCCTAGGCCCTAAGCCCTAAACCCTAAACCCTAAACCCCACTGTGTACTTCAGAGCTTCTAGAGCCTCCTCGACTCCATGAGACGGACTCCATGAGACGGGAAACGGGAAGCTCAGGCCTCTAGAAACTCCTCGCGCTGCGCGTGCGCAGGACGAAGTTTACATGGTGATCATCCCCTGGCACGGCGCTGTGCCTGTGAGGGATGAGGTACCTGCGCCTCAGGTATATTGCGGTTTTTGGGCTCAGGGTTTAGGGTTTAGGGTTTAGGGTTTAGGGTTTAGGGTTCCAGTCCCGTTTCGAGTCTTTGCTTCGTGGGGACCGTTTGATAAGTTAGGGCTTTTTTGGAGCCTCCCTGAACCCTAAACCCTAAACCCTAAACCCTAAACCCTAAAACCTCTCTCCTGAAGGATGTCTTCCTGCGCTGCACGGAGATTCTTCGTGGAGCTCAGCCTCTGGACCGCCGTGCCCTGCGTGTACCGACATGTCTTGTGGTAGCTCAGAATGTAGTTGTGCACGAAGTGGGGTTTAGGGTTTAGGGTTTAGGGTTTAGGGTAGCTACTAGGCTTTGCCAGAGTCGCAGAGCCTGGCAGGAAGACAATCCCTTTGCCGCGATCCGGCTGTACCACCTCGACGTTCGGCGGGCAGCCCCGAGCCCAATACCCTTGCCTCCCCTGCCTGTTAGCCGGGGAATGCGGGGATTGAGATCCTTCTCAGAAGCCCCTAAACCCTAAACCCCTAAACCCTAAACCCTAAACCCTAAACCTTCCCCCCTGCTGCACCGCACCAGCCTCTAGTGGACGAGGTCTTGAGAGGGATATCTGCCTGCCAACTCAAGAAACATGCGCAGAAAGCTTCTGTTATCGTGAAGGCGTAGAGCCGACTGTCCGATGCTATTTCTCGTAACATCTCTCTACCCCAAACCGGGCGAAGTCACATTGAACTCGAAAGCCCGAATCCCCCCCTCACCCTTCTCAGTACCTCCCTCTGCTAGAATCTTCGCTTCGAAGATCCGTTTTTGAGGTTCACCCGTGCCGCGTTGACAATCCTGCCGACTTTGGGGCCTGGCTGGCTGTCTTCACCAACGCTCTTTCAGCTCTGCCATAAAGGGCTGCCATGAAGACAGCCGGAGGGGATTGAACAGGAGGAAGATTACCACTGCTATCTTCCCACCTGCTAGACTAGACGGGGCCGTATTTCAGAAGCTTAAGGCAGCTGCTGCATGCGCTGCTGCTCTTGCTCTAGGGACCCCGCATGTTGGCTGGTTGGTGAGTGTGTTCGACTCGACACAGCAGCTGCCAGATGCCAACAGAGAGACTGCATGCCTTCGAGTTCTCCTCACTTGCAGTCTTTGCCTCAGCCGTCGGCGGTCATGTTTACAGTTCGCGCGTGCCTACTTGGCTGCAACACTAAGCCGTCATCGGTCAACCCTCAACCCTCAACCCTCAACCCTCAACCCTCAACCCTCAACCCTCAACCCTAAACCCTAAACCCTAAACCCTAGGTTTCCTCCGGGAGAGTGATGCCGGGGAAGCTTCAGAGCACCCTTCCCGGCGAACGGTGCCTCTGATGCAATGATGTGCTTGCCTACACTGTGTGCTCAGGGTTTAGGGTTTAGGGTTTAGGGTTCAGGGTTTAGGGCTAGCGTGTACATCGCTTTGACCTGTTTGGGCACATGCTTGCACGGTTGTTGCTTTGGCAGATGCGTCCATTACATTGTTCCTTTTTGTCAGTAGTAAGTATACAAGTGGATCATAGATCATTGAACCATTATATGTCCGAAATTAGGGAGTACCTTATTGGGGTCCTTATTAGAAAGGAATCCGATATCTGGGGGGGGGGGGGGGGTCTCTATTAAGGATCCCTTATTATCGTCACCCCGCCCCCCTAAACCCTATCCCTAAACCCTAAACCCTAAACCCTAAGCCATACAAATTATTCCAATCACCTCGTGATAATTTGTGCCCAGGTTCATCGCCCGGAGGCCGCCCGGCCGCCAGGAATGACTGCAAGCGTCCCAAAGCCTGCACCGTTTTTGCATCTTCCAAGCTAGCCCTAAACCCTAAACCCTAAACCCTAAACCCTAAACCCTAAACCCTAAACCTTAAACCCTAAACCCTAAACCCTAAACCCTAAATTTTCATCACGAAGTGTGACCATTCAACCTCGCACTGGGAGCCGAGCCAAAACCTTCTGCCGGGGGACCCCTTTGTCTTCCAATGAGGCCCGCAATCCCAGGGGGGGGGTAAGGGGGACCCTTCAAAGGGTGTTCCTTCTTAACCCTCTTATGGCTCTCTTAAACAGGGACCTTATTCGGAGGGTCTATATCCCCAAGGGTCCGACTAGTCCTATCCCCTACTCAGGGTCTCCGCAAGCTTGACAAGGGGCATCCTTCTTCCTTTGGCCAGGCCGTTCGCAGTTTGCTTCTGGCAGAAAGAGATGGACGAGACCTGGCTCTTCATGAGCCTGATGGTTTTAGGGTTTAGGGTTTAGGGTATAGGGGCTTCGAATTCGGAGTTCAAGGTTGAGATGCGGGAGCTCGCTGGTAGTCTGGTAGTCACCGATGCACTGCTGAGGACTTGAACGTTCCGTTCTCCGTGACGCTGGTACCATAGACCGTGACGAGATTGTGCCTGGTGGCCCACTTTGCAGGCCCCACAGTCCCAGCCCCTTCAATCATTCAATAAGCTTCTGTAAGAACATTATGCGACGTCTCGCGAACCGTTTCACGTGTGCTGCACGCGCGACTAACACGAGTTGCGTGAGGCACAAAAGATGTGCGTGTAGACAAGGCAAGCTCGCCTCGAAGCACAGAGAATTTAGGGTTTAGGGTTTAGGGTTTAGGGTTTAGGGTTTAGGGTTTTAAAATTTTGTGGGAGTTGCAGTTCAGCTTTGGTGTTCGATGGGTGTTCTGTCATTGCCCAAATCAAGCACAACATACAATCCTGGGTGCGAGGAATGGTCGCCTTCTATGAACGGGTCTTGCACTTGCGTCACTTCATGAGTGAAGGGAGGAGGTGTTGCATCCTCAAAACTTGTTTACTATAGGGGTCGGAGGAATTACTAATATTGTTCCCTTTAATATTTATTCTATAAGTACCCCAAAGCTTTATTCCCATTATTCAGGCCGCTTTATTTCTTTTTTACATGAGTCTCCTACCGCGCAGCGCCTTTGGTGATCGTAGTCATGGCGGCTGCTCTGCGCCCTCGTGGCAGGCCAGAGCACTTTTCGGAGGAGATTTGGGGGGGGTTTACGAAGATCGGGGTGCCCTTTAAAAAAGGGGTCCTAGTATAAGGGTGTTATACTGTTTATGCTGTCTCGGGGGTATATTCAGGGTACCCTTATTGGGGGAAATGCCCATGTGCACCGCATCTCATGGTTCAACAAGCTGGGAAGAGCTTGAAGGTTCCTGATCTCGGGGCCAGTGGTTGTCAGTACCCAGACCCTAAAAAGGATCAACAAAAATAGACCCTCTTAATGACCCAATAGTAGTATAGGGTACTATTTGGGGTCTTCCTAAACATGACCCAATAGTCAATAGTAGTATGGGGTACTATTTGGGGGTTCTACCTTTTGGATCCTCCCAGGGGTCTGGGTAGAGATCCAGGCAACCATGAATGGAACCCTTGCTAGATCCCTGCTTCCCAGAGGCAGGTTTAGGGTTTAGGGTTCAGGGGTTTAGGGGTTTAGGGGTTTAGGGTTTAGGGTTTAGGGTTTAGGCAGCAACATGATGTCGCTCATCAGAAACGGGATGGATGGATGCCTGAATCCGAAGTTATCAAGTGTTTCTCAGTTCACTTATACATCACCATCATCTTGTTATTGCCCGGTACTTTGAAGTTGGTAGCGCATTGTGGAAGCTGCACGCTTGGTGAAGTGCAAGCGAGCAGACCGCACAGGTTAACGGGACACTTGCGATGCCTTGCAGGCCGCCTGCCCCTTACGCAGCCGGGAGACTGGAAAGATAGGGAGGTGTCAGATATGATTATTATTATTATTTGTATATGATTATTCTGATTATAATTATTATTGAATAATATTAATATTGATATGAATAATCATACTTATATTAGTATTAGGCATCCTACAAAGGCCAGTTCCCCAAGCCCCGGGTCCGTTGTTTTGCGGTTTCTTTTCGGGTCTCCGAAGTTTTCGAGAACTGACCGTATACGGTTCGACGACAAGGGAGTAGCAGCATGCGGATGTCTGCGCACATCTGTGGTTGAGGCTCTTGGTGCAGTTCCCCTAAATGATTAGATCATATTATGAAATGATTTTCGATCCAACCCCATACGTAGTCATGGCAGTCGGTTGTTTTCACAAAGCTGTGTGGCCACTCCTGCTCAGTTGCTCCATATGCATGACAAGACAGCATGAAACGACAGCGGCAAGCAGCAGCACGAAGCTTTTTGCAATCTGAGTGCAGGATGACAGGCGGTTTAGGGTTTAGGGTTTAGGGTTTAGGGTTTAGGGTTTATGGGGCAGCAAAAACATCATTTGTGGTGTCGATCCGAGTGTTCGGATGGCTCGCTCTGCAGTGCAAACGCCCCTGAGCAGCCTCGCCCTCACATGTGGGGACTGTGGCATGAGTCAGTTGAAGAGAGGATAATAGAGAGGTCATGGCAGACAGTCTCGTCAAGAATCTCCAGCGACATGAGAAGCACTGGATCGGTTTATTTTCTTGCACAGGCCTGCCCTCCGAATTGAGGCACAGCACCTACGGGACTTATTCGTTTCATGTTCTAGCTGCTCAGTGAAGCTACTTTCGATCCCCAGACCCCTGGGAGGATCCCAAAAATAGATCCCCCTAAGGGTTCCTAAGAGTAGTCTTGGGGCACGACTTGGGGGCTCTATATTTTGGATCCTCCCAGGGGTCTGGGGATGAGGCAGCCCTTGCGTCTTGTAAATGTTCTTGCAACGCTCCCCACATCGATACATCCTGTGCAAGGGGGCGAACTCCGTCGCGAGGAAACACCCCGATGATGCAGGCCTGTCTGAGGATTTTGCAGATTTCTGTATATAGATTTCGGTAACCCCAAACCCTAAACCCTGAACCTTAGAAACCCTAAACCCTACAAACCCTGAGCCCGAAAGATTCTGTATTCACGGCTCTTGAGTCCGAAGCCACCACCCTCGCAGCAACTTTGCTTGCAGTCGCTGCTCATCTTCAAAGCCAAATAGGAACTAATTAGGGTTTAGGGTTTGAGTTTATGGTTCAGGTTTATGGTTCAGGTTTAGGGTTCAGGGATCAGGGTTCAGGGGTTAGGGTTTACCCACCTCCAACACTTCTGAGCTTCCTTCCCGTCTTAGCAAAGATAGACAAGCCCTTCTTCAGTTTTTCCTCTGTGCCCAAACCCCAAACCCTAAACCCTAACCCTCAACCCCAAACCCCAAACCCCAAGCCCCAAGCCCCAAACCCCAAACCCCAAACCCCAAACCCCAAACCCCAAACCCTAAACCCTAAACCCTAAACCCTAAAACCCTAAAACCCTAAACCCTAAACCCAACAGGTGGAAGAGCCCCTCTGGTTCCCTCCAATTCCCGCGGACCGGGCGGGCTGCCTGTCAGGCAACTCTGGCATGTCTGCGCGAGTGTGGGTTTAGGGTATAGTGTCTAGGGTTTATTTAGGGTTTAGGGTGTAGGGTTTAGGGTTTGGGGTTTAGGGTTTAGGGTTTGGGGTACTTTTGTGTATTTGGTTGGCGAGGGGGCGGGGATGTTTTGGGGTTCCGGACTGTTCTTCAGTAGCAAGGAGGCACAGAGGCTAGAATTAGAAGGTCTTGGAGTCTGGAGTGGGGTTGGGGATTAATGTTGGACCTGCTTTAATAATGTAACCCCCCCCCCCCCCCCTCAACAGTCGCGAGCCTGAATAAAAAAAGACCCCAAACAGTCGGGGGGGGGGGGGGTCCGGAGCCTCCCTAAGCTACCCCGCGACCCTGGAAAGGTCGAGGCTTCAGGCTTCAAGTATCCCTTCTTCTCGAGAAAGCTTATGCCTTCCTGAAAACCGAAGGACTGAGCCCCGGGCCCCGGGAGACTTGCATTATAGCGGGCCCCCAAACAAAGGTATTAAAGTGTGTCCGGAGGCCTCCGTAAGGTACCCCCTTTCCGGATATGATTCGCCTATGGAATCATCTAGTTTTAAGTAAGGAATTTATAAAGAAAAGGCGCCCTGAAAAAAGAAGATTGTCGGAGATCCTGGACAGGTCGAGGCTTCAGGCTTCAAGTATCTCTCTTTCTCGAGAAGCTTATGCCTTCCTGACACCCTCAAAAAAACAGGCCCGGCCCGAAATCTTTTCATTATAGCGGACCCCCAAAACAAAGGGTCCAGATCCTGAATAGCCGGAAAACTTTTCATAATAGCGTCCCCCTAGAATATTGCGGGTGCAACATTAACTAGTGTTGGCTGTCTTCGGGTTGTGACTCAGCATCCTCCACCAGGCTTTCCGTCCCATTGACTGTCACTAGAAGTACTTTATTGTGCCCGCTGCATGATAGGAATAAGGCTGACAGACATGACAGCGTGAGGAAGCAAGTTACAGTCGCATAAACGAAGGGCTTCAGGCTCGTCTTCTCCACAAATATGTTTGCGAAGCGCAGGCAACCAACAGGTCCCCTCGATGAGCAGAACATGGCAGAAGCAACTGAAAGAGCAGCTCGGGTATTTCAATCTCTGACTTGCTGCAATGTTGAGAAGCTTGCAGGCATTCAGTTCCGCGCGGAACGCCGAGCACAGGACAGATTTCTGCATGGATCCCGTTTTGCTTCGCACGATTTTGCTGCCGCTCAGAGACATGGTTCCCATTGACATGGAGCCATGCAATGGGAGCCTTCCTGGAAACTTGCAGGAGTTTGTGCATCCTTTCATACCACAGACCTCCTTCTACGCCGGCCGCGACATGTTCCCGCGCCCAGCAGTGCCTGGCTACAGTGGCTTTACGGTAAGGCAGGACGGACACTGTGAAATTGTGCTTTGTCCGCTGCTCTATGCCGTTCTATGTCAACTGTACTTAGTGGCTCAAAGTGCACGTGCCAGGCCCACGGACACAAACATGCTGAGCCGGCCCTATGCCTGCTGCTCAGTTCCACTGTCGCTGTATGACTGTATGAAGTACTTCTATCAAGCGGCTTATCTTTGTGCTAAGCTTTCCGTGACTATCTGACCAGCAGACTTCATGACTTGTGGGATTTGGTGACTTGATGCACTGAGGCCAAAGGCAACTGGGAGGCAGCGAGCGTGTGAAACAGCCTTGACATTCCTTGACTCTTGGCTTGGATCTCCTTCTGTGGATGTTGCACACGGCCCGATCGTGGTACCCATGAGCAGTACACAATGGTGCTGACTGCGACAGCTTGGGCTGTGGCACCCCTCTCTTGCAGCCGGGGTTCCAGGATTGCTTGCCAGGCCGTTTAGTAGGCCTTCAAGAGGCGCATATGCGCCTCGCCTGTCATGGAAGCTCCCTCCTCAAAGCTTTGGGAGTTCATGGGTAGAGCCCGGGGTATGGGTTTGCCACCTGAATCTGATCCACCCATTTGGACGCGCGAGATGAAAGGGTTTCGGCTGGGTTTTTCGCGGGGGTCGTCTCGGGGTACACGGAGACGTGCAGCAAACCCGGTTCG